GCTTTAGTGATCAGACATTGTAGTAACTAATTAGGCAAGAGAAAAACTGTTACTGTACTAATTATTACAGATTGTCTAACCAAATTACCTGTCAACTATTTTGTACTAAGTGACATTGTGGATTTCATCACATTTTGATTTAAATCAAACAACAATTAAATATCAGAACATGATGAAACTAGTAATTTCACTTTAGTATTCATTTGTATAACACATACAAAATATGAATGTTTTCCCTAAAACATTGTTGAACTTATCAATGGTTTATAATTTATAAACTTCAAAAGTAACTGACAGGACAATCAACATTCAAGTTCGACTAATAAAATATCATGACTGAATAGTTATTTACTTCAGTGATTTCAAACTCCTTGTGGAACACAGGCGGCCAACCAGTATTCACAAACAACTCTATCCTGGGCCTTCCCTTCCAGTTTCGTTCAATTTTTGTCCATTCTTTCCAAGTCTGTCTCCATTTCTCAGCGTAATGTGTTCTCCGGCCTTCCTCTTTTCCTTTTGCCTTGAGGGTTCCAAATGAGGGCTTGTCTCGTGACTCAGTTAGGTGCTTTTCGTAGTGTGTCCTATCCACTTCCACCGCTTCTTCCTGATTTTCTTCTCCACTGGAATCTGGTTTGTTCTCTCCCACAGTACGTTGTTGCTGATGGTGTTTTCCCAACGAATCCGAAGTATTTTGCGAAGACAACTGTAAATAAATACTTGCATCTCATGGATGATGGCTTCGGCAGTTTTCAAAACGTATGACCCATACACAGTAGAACTGTCTTGACATTTGAATTGGAAACTCTGACTTTGGTGTTGGTTGATAGTTTTTTTGTGTTCCAGACGTTGTTCAATTGTAGAAATACAGTCATTGCTTTTCGTATCCGCGCCTTCACATCTGCGTCAGATCAACCTTCCTCGTCAATCATGCTGTCCAGAAATATAAAGGTTTTCGCATCCTCCAAGGCATCTCCATCAAGTGTGATTTTGTTGGTGCATGTTGTGCTGTATAGGAGAATCTTACTTTTTCCTTTTTGTATGCTGAGACCTGCTGCTGCTGAGCCTACTGCTACACAGGTCATCCTCTCCTGCATTTGTTGGTGCATGTAAGATAGAAGAGCCAGATCATCTGTGAAATCTAGATCGTCCAGCTGCATCCTGGCTGTCCTCTGTATACCGTTCTTCTCTCCTGATGTTGATGTCTTCATAATCTAGTTGATCAACAGGAGAAAGAGAAAGGGTAAGAGTAAGCAACCTTAGCCTGGTGTTGAGAGAAGAGTGATGCCTCTATAGTTCTCACACTTACTGAGATCGCCTTTCTTTGGCATTTTGATCAGGTATCCTGCTTTCCAGTCTGTTGGTACTCGTTCTTTATCGCAAATCTTGTTGACGAGAATGTGGAATATCTTCGCAGTTGCTGCCACGTCGGCTTTCATTGCCTCTGCCTGAATGTTTTCTGGTCCCTCTGCTTTGCCGCTCTTGATCAGTCTTCAATTATTGGTGAGCCAACATTGATTGGGAGGTCTGCGGATGCGAATTCGATGTTGGGTGTGTTCCGTGTGGGATGACTACTAGTAATCACATTCAAATTAAAAAGGTTCATGTAATGGAAATAATCACTGATTGTACAATCATTCAGCATGATAAGAAACAAAATCAATTTGGTCTGCGGGCGTCAATAGGATTATCTAAGAGATAAAAACCATAAGACCAAAATAGTGGAAGTTTGTAAAATTGAATAAAGGTTATTTGATAAATACTGAGTTACCATGACAGAGAAAGGTTAATCAAGCTTTCTTTCTGTAAATATTAGTTAGGTCTGAAATTTTTAATATCGACTGTATTTGTAGAATAGAGCGAAGTTGATGTTGGCTGTTTTTTTAATTATTCTAAACGCATTACTTAAATTCATTTCATGTTTACTATCTGCATTACAACTTGTATACATGGCAATTCATATCGATTTTAAATACATTCATTCATACATTGTGTTGTTGTATTCTTCGTTTTATTATGATTTAAGGGGCGTTTCGAGTATTTATTTTAACTGCACAAACCAAAACAGATTAAATATTTGTTTACAATTATACTAATAATTGTAGCTTTAGCCCGTATACAGTTAATAAGAAGCCATAAGATAGACTGAATTCATTTTATTCTTTTTAAACCTTGTTGTTTTTGCTCTTTTTAAATTTATTCATGGATCTGATTGCATCAACTATGAGTGTTTGAAAGTTAGTAGTACATTGTGAATCCGTTTTACTGACGATTAAATAACCAATATTTTATCAGTTCTCAGAGTATTCAAAACTTTTTTTACTCCTATTCTCAAGTCAATAAGATTTTGAGCTTTGTACACATAAACTATGTTTGGGGTGTTTGTTACATAAACGGAGATTATAATTCATTTCACTGGTTTATTACGAACGTTACTTAAGTAGTCTCGATTCCTACAATTCAAATGTCATGAAAAGTTTTTATGGCTAATATTCTCAAGACATAATGAAACTTTTGCGGGAAAGCACTAAAAACGGAAAACATTAAAAGTTAAGTAGTCACTTGATCAAGTGAGTAAAATAATTTCTTGTCACATTAATTCTAGTATGATACAAATATTTCTTTCTCATTTTGTTCACATTCCAACTATCCAGTTATGTAAGTCAACAACAAAAATTCTGCATCAATAACTACTACGTAGTGAATTGTTATTTTTCTGAAATGGTATTCAATGATTAACTACCGAAACTTTTATTACAAAGATTTATTGTTTATACTACTATGTAAAGTATCCTTTTCATCTGTACCATCTTGATGCAGTTAACTAAATATAAGAATAGACAAAATGCTCTGAAAGAGTTTATTCTTTTTGATACTTGGTCTAAAGTAAGTGAGTAAATTCAAGTCATACGTTCTATTATTAGTATCAGTATTATTATCATGATAAACAATATTATTACAACTTTAAAATCCTATTAAAAATCTAATCTCAAGAAAATTGCATTTAGGGCCCAAATATTAATTATGCTAATGTATATCTAATTTCAAATTTCGCTATCGGTGTGATACACTGGCTGACATTTTGAAAAACACTACATATTTATTTATATTCGAACGTTTTCATTGCTTCTAACTGAATATTCTATGTAGTTCACTAATTTTTCTGCATAACTGAGTAAAATAATTTTTCAAAATAATATGGTCATGTAATTTCTATGAGCAGTTGATATATCACGCAGAAACACGTATGACGTTAGAATCTATCAGAAGTGATTTTCAAAGTTTACATAATTTAGTCATCATTAGTTTTCTTTTAGAATAGAATGCATTCTTTTGAAGTTTCTAATTGTAACTTCTTTAAAATATAAAATAATCTTTGTTGAACTAGTTATCTCTTTCATGTCAGTAAATTTTAACTTGGGAAAAATCTGTAGTCGGATTAAATAAATACAAATAGATAAAATTCTAATGGTGGTCTAACAATGATTGATTGATGATTTCAAATGTGTAAAAACACAAACCTCAAAAATATCGTAACAGTGCTCACTAGTGACTAGCTTCGTGAGGAAATTCTCGGAGTTCTAGTTGAGAAGACGTGACCGATGGAGTTCAACCCTGTCGGGCGTAGGCAGTAACTATCAAAGACAAATGGGTCAGGTCGTGCAAAATCCGTAGATCAATCAGAGTTAGACATTAACACCGTTGGATGCCAGCCCAGTGGTCCGATGGTTAGGCGTTCGCGCACAATCCTGAAGGTCCCGGGTCCGAATCCTGCGAGGTTCAGGAGTCGTGGATGCGCACTGCTGATGAGTCCCATACCAGGACGAAACGGCCGTCCAGTGCTTCCAGGTTTCTAATGGTGGTCTAACAATGATTGATTGATGATTTCAAATGTGTAAAAACACAAACCTTCAAAAACTCTGCTTGAAAATAAAATTTAATGTCTTATTATGGTCTGTATACTTACTAAATAATAAAACTAATTAGAATCTTGTTACTAGCTCCACATGTATCAATAACTCGATAATGCAGTTTATTATGAACCTATACATATTATCCATTTGCTGACTATGATCAATTAATGATGTACGACAAATATACGGTGTAAGGATATGCCAGAATGCATACTCACATGGATCATGATCTTATGTCATAGCAAATTTATTTATACAGTTCATCATTTTCCCAATGAGATAGAACACTTATGAATTTATGTGAGCTTAAATACCTACGTTTTAGGTTGGAAAAGTTAGTTGATTTGGGATAATAAATAATCATAAAGGATTATTAATTAAATTATTGCCACTATGTAAACTAAAATCTATTTCCAACTTTGTAAACAACTGTTTATTTATGAAATTCACTGTAGCTTATAGCTTAACAATTATATTTCCTCAAATTACTCTGTCCTCAACAAAGGTTAGACAATTATCTAAAATTTTAAAAATCCTGAGAACACACAAATAATAATATCGTGGTATAAAAAATGGCTTATGTTAAACAGTAAATTACAACTCATGTTATTAGAAGTGATTAATGATATTATGCCAATCAATTCAGATCAATTTTTTTTTCTATACCCATATTACTCAGAATTCAATATGTTCTAAAATCAATAATTGATTACATCATATATAAAACTTTACTGAACATGATTGGCTCATACAGACTTAACAATTTGGTGTTATTATTAAGGGAAAATGTAATGTAAAATAATAAGTTTAAATATAGCCAGTCGAATGTGTCTGTTCAGTAGGTGTCTTTATCACTACTCACTTATGAAGATATAACTTTAGGACTTATTGTATTGCACTATATATTTAACTGTCAATAAATTCGAATGCACTAAATCTATTTCATAAATTACATATTCTCTAATACAAACATTTCAAATATTCGAGGATAATTATTACAACAGGCAGTACATCATTGTCATTATTCATTTTAAAAATTACCATTACTGCTTCAGTCAGGGACTGTAATACTCTGAGGTGGTGTTAAGTATGCCTTTATTATGCGTATTTAAAGGCGAATTATGGTATTCTTTACATTTCGTCATAGTATACATTATTTTTGGTAAGTATCAAGTGTGTTCACTAGGAAAAAAATATTTGTTTAGTTAATTTCTTGAGTTTTATTGAAATGATATTTGTTTGAAAAAAATACTTTCTGATATTTATTATCATATAAAAAGTGTATGTAATTACAACAAAAAATAACATGTAGATCAGAATAATGATGCGATGAAGTGTAAAATTTCATATTAGATTTTTACTTAAAATTTGTTTTGAAACTTGTAGATGCTAGATTAGAAATTACACTGATTTAGACTGGAAATTTATGTATTTCACTAGTCACTTCTGTGAACAGGTGACCTGATCACTAATTAGCCAGTCTTTGGAAGGAGCTGCAAAAACCAGATTATTAAGTTTCGATTTCATTCAACTTACCAAGCTTCTTACTAAGATATTAATCCAATAGAATATTTCATTTTCAGTAAATTATATGTTCATCTTAACAAATTTGACAAATCATCATTCAGTTTCAATTACAATCTAATTGACTAACAGATATTTTCATGAAATCTTCATAAATTTGTTAACGAAACTGAACAACAACCTTGCATACAATGTAACCAAAAAGTCTTATCATGAATAATGTTATCAAGGCAATAAGTGTAGCCAATCTCATCTAGTTTACTGGTGTGAGAGTAACCCATATTTGGTTTTAGAATCAATTATCCTTTTCGAATTTACATTTATAATATATCAATTCAAGAAAAAAAAGGAATATTATTGCTGAAATCCTAATTGTTCATGGCATGGTTCCAAAGTAAATGCAACTAAATTATACTATCTTTTCCATAGAAGAAAATTCATCAAAAAGGGATATATAATGCTGATCAGAAATTTGTGATGTTTGTTCACAGTCAGAAATTATAGTTTGACTTTGAAAAAGTTTCTCATAGATTTGCAAAATATGAACTGTTTTTAAGTTTCAGAAATTGTTGAAACATACTGCTGTATGATACACGTTACTTGCTGTGATTCTTTTTAACAGACAGTTTACAAAGTGATTTTTTAAGATGACTAAATTATGTTTACTCATAAAGTAGAAAATAATAAGTAGAGGAATAAGATGTAAACAAACAGTCTATCATTTCTGATTCCGTCATTATTTACTGACTCGAACAGTTCAGACCTCATAAGTAAGGTAAGTAATCTAATATTCTCATTTAAATAAGAAGTAATATCAAGTAACTTTAAAAAAACTAGTTTGGGTTAACAACATTCACACATAAATTCTTATAAATTCACACTGGATTTGTAATACAGTCATTTATTATGGAATTAAAAATTCAGTTAATTCACAAAATTTATGTTGACTAGTAAAGCTGCAACTCAACTAATTCCTATGAATCTTCCAATCAAAAACACTACTTGTGTTTGCTCAGAAGCCACTAAGTTAAGAGTGAATTTCTGAGGTACTATTGTGAAGTCGTAGATAGCGAAGTCCAGCCATTTCATAGTAAAATGCTTTAACCCCCAGTAACAAGAGTTGGTGTTACACTGTATAACGAAATAGTTGAAGTCAGAAATGTGGTCTAAAAATCCCTAGAAGTTGAGAATGAATGTAACTGACTAATTAAAGCAAACAAAAATCTTGATTCAAATTTTGAAAAAGTTTACCTAGTAATCATAAAACTTACTGACAATCAGAGATATGTTCTGATTAATGATGATGAATAAAAATACAACGTCAATCACTTTTAATAATTACCAATTGAGGGTGTTTGATTTCATTTGATTATTTGTTTGTCATATTGGAAATTAAAAAAAATTCAATGTACATTGATTGCTTTTTCAATACATGCCGATAATCTGTAAAAAAATTTGTCAATAGATCGATAGTACTTCATAAGTGAAAGGTATATAAAAACAGATTGGTCTTCATATTGTCAATAAACTACTCAATTCACTTTGTCCATAATTATTGTTGTTGATATACGGAATAAAATAGTATTTCTGTAACCTCAATAAATGTTTGAGACAAATATCGGTACATCTCATGAATTTTGATAATTATAGCTAATATTCTTAAAATCGATTATCTTGAATAGTAATCTTTGCTGATGATTTTCTGTGTTGTTAAACGTTCATCTCATTTCGTTTTGATATCTTTGTAGCAAGCTATAAACAGAAAATCTATTCTTAAAAATAACAGATTTATTAATTAGATTCTAAACTCGGAAGACCTATACACTGTTATAGATTTCATGACAGTACTGATGTATACTTACCGTGAACCCATGTAACATCAAAGACTCATCTGATATAGTTTGTAAGCCAATCATAAAAAAGTTACATTTACATATAGATTATTAACAAACTGTTTAAAAGTTATCTAAAGAACTTGAAAATACTAAAGGATTAATGCGTTAGGTTGACTGGAATACAGTATTTTGTTATATTAAAAATAAAATAAGCTAGTATAAAGATTTTGGACCATAGTGATATGTTTGAATTATTATTTAAGTGGACATTGTAAAGTTTGAACAGATTGCGTAGATGAAATAATGCCAACCCCATTTTTAAAGGCGCCACTTTCGGAGAGACTGTGTTGTTATATAATGTCTATGCTAAAAATGAATAAAATACTTTGAATTTGAGAAACAGTTCAAGTGACTTGACACTATATATTAAAACACTAATGGAATTCAAATATCAATTATACTGAGAGAGGTGGAGTCTATTTCAAACAATTTTATTGGTAATCTAAAAAATTTTTTTAAATGATAAATAAAGTGGTAATCATTTTGCTTGTAATCATGTTTATCAGACAACATAACTTTGATATTATTATTAGAAGGAATGTTTCACAATAGTACACATTACTAGGTGTTTTGTTTCTAGGCTAAAGAGTACTTCTTTAATCTAGATTTTCAGTTCTTAGTCATCGATTTTAAAACAAAAAGCCAGTGACTTCGGTATAACTGCATGTCTATGTACCGATTTCTTTATTGAATACACACATGTTTACAGTATGTAGCAGCTCAGAAAATTTTACCCTGCTGTAGAACGGAATACACTAAAATGTATTTAAAATATTTTGATTTTGCATATATATATATATATATATATATATATATATATATATATATATATGTATATATATTCCATACAGGTACCTGGTTGTGGAGATAACTATTCATGTAATTAATCGGTTTCGTAGGGCAATATTGATAATTACAAATGTGTAACTTAGATAATTAAACAGATATCAAATAAATCTATTATGGTAAATTACATAGGGAAATATCTATTTCTTTCTATTTTTAGGTTTCAAATGCGTGTTATGTGAAAGCGTCAATAACTCTGTTATTGATGGAAAGTCAAGTGATCATTTAATCATATGGATTTCAACTGGTATGGTGTTTCAGTTTTTCAATATTCACATTTACCATCAACGTTTGGATGTTCAATAACTTTTGTTGACGTTCATTTTTTCGTCTATGTACTATACCAATAGGTCAATAGGTCAAATTAAAGTAGTATACCTTTAGTTTCTATAGGACAGTCAGTTATGCACATGGCCAATAAGCCCAAAACTTGAAATTAATTACTGTAAAATACTTGGTGTATGAGTAGTATTATAAATGAGAAATTTTCTTATTGGAGAATACTTAAAGAATATCCATCTGTTAAAGGCATAATACAATGAATACTGAAACTATTATGACAGCTAATGCACTTGATATTACATTAATTATTTATGAACTATTATTGGTCTTAAATCTTCAGTTAAAAGTTTATATTCAGCATTAAACTTTAATACTGACAGATGTATGTGTTGTCCAGTTCTTGAATTAATTAGTTGATTAAGTGAAACCGCTTTGGCCGAAAAGCTCGAAGATGTGTTCTGTAATTTACAATGGTTTTAATTGCTCCATATGCCAGAAGATGTTTAATATCGTCCTAGGAATTTTTTTTCCTATTTACTCGGAAAATAAATAAACTTATATTTAATAATCAAACCCAAATGAACAATTTGGAAACTGAATTTCAGTCGCCTGTAATGACTAAATTTAATGATATTGTCTATGACTGTTGCGAAAATCACCCTTTCTTACAACTGAACATCACTTTTTTAGTCATAAAGACTGATGGGTGCAATTGAACATCTTAGTTAAGATCAAATAAAAACATTTCAATATGGTTACGTTTTGCCGAAATTCTCATCAAATCTAAGAATTTGAATTCACGTAGCGTTAATCTGAAATCTGGAATTTTGTAATAAGTGAATTATGAAGAATCAGTTCAATTAGGTATTAAAGGAAATTTAGTTTCATGTGTAAAATTATATTCTACAGAAAGGTCTTAAATGTGTATCTAAATAACCATATGTAAAGCAGAAAAATTGATTTCTCGTGAATCTTCTTTTTAATTAAAATAACGAATCGATCATCATTAGAAACCTGAAAGTTTTATCCTGTAGTAAGCAACTTATCAGTAGTGAGCATCCACGGCCCCGTATAACTGAATCAAACCCAGGATCTTTAGTCTCACGTGTAAACGCCAAACAGCTTGACATGATGTTTGAATGGATTCTAGTTCGTCAGCTGTTCTCTTGTTAAACAACCGTTAAATTAAATAAATTAAATTAAATAACATGTTTTAATTTTTATATCCCATTGTAAAATACAGGACTAGGTATATCGGTTGCTGTTCTTATCATAATTGTATGCTGCTTGCTTGTACTAGTTTGTAATCTTAGGTAAGTATCACTTTCGTAAATCTTAAATAATTAAGTGCAATAATTTTAAATATTGAGCAATGTAACTCTATTGTCTAGTAATTGACCACATTATTGTACCCTATTATTGAAACTGAACTTTTGGTGATTCTCCTCTTATTTAATTGCTCATGATGTTTTTTCTGAATTAGAACCAGATATGTAAACATTTCATTAACTCGAAAATTCATAAAAATCAGAAAAAGCAGGAGCATTTAAAAATGTCATATCATGTAGGAATTCAACTCACAACTTATCACAAGTTTCTGATCTACTACTTTTTGTAGAAGTTTCAGGATAAAATACAACAATAAGAGCAGAAAAATTAACTCGATGTCTGAGTGTAACAAATGTTGCAAGGCAGCAAGCGAACAGATAGATAAGCAGAAAGAATTAGTCGAATCTTAAAAAGGTTACTGCCAAAAACAGTACCGACATAAACGTTTGTATCAGAATGCAATAGTTTCCTCATTTACCTATTTTCACTTATAACAAAAAGCGTTTGAAAAATATCTTCATAAAATGTTCATTCTAAATGCTATCATTATAACTTACATGAATATATCTTACAGCTTGATAATGAACATTTTCTTTTATCGCTGTTTACTATTCATTGAAAAATTTATTCACACATTTTCTTCTAACAAAAAGTTACAGTCTACTTAAGCCCTTCGAAGCTCTTGGAAAGTAAGCAGCTGGCCAGGGATCTTCAACCAACTTTACTATAAGCTCTTCTTCCTAGCGGTATTCAAGTCATCCTTATCATGTAAATGTGTCATCGATTGCCGATCTAATGTGTTCTTTCGTCTGCTTCTTTTCTTTTCACCTTGTGATACGGGGTGATGAATTTTCAAAGTGTGACCTATCCACTTCCGGTGTCTTTTCTGAATTATTTTATTCACCCGCAATCTCGTTTGTTCTCTCATAGTAGGTTGTTGTTGATGGTGTCTGATTAACAGATCCAGGCTATCTCTTTCGTATGTAACCGTTTATAAATACCTGCATCCTCTGAATGATAATTTCTGTAGTTCTCCAAGTTTCGGCTTCATGCAATAGAACTTTCTTGACGTTTTGTCAAAAGCTTGAACTTCAGTGTTGGCTAAAGGATGTTACAAGTTCCTTGCCTTGCCTTGCTAAATAGTGCCTTGACATCTGTGCCAGATTCCTTTTGTTTATTGATGGCATCTCTAGATACATGAAGGCTTTCACCTCTTCCAAAGTTTCTCCACCAAGTGTGATTTATTTTATGCTTACTGCGTTGTTCTATAGGTTATTGCTTTTTCCTTATTAGATGTTGAAAAGTACTGCTGAGGAATCGGCGACTACATTGTCTGTCTTCACTTGCATTTGTTGCACTGTATGAAATAAAAAGGTTAGGTTTACTGCGAAGTTTAAATTGTCTAGCTGTACCCAAGCTGCCCCCTCTATTTCTGGCTTTTCCTGGAATGTAGAGGTGTTCATAATCCAGTAAAAACCAAATTTAAAGAAAAAGGTTGACAGAATTGTCTGACAAAGGTCTTCACTTGGAAAATATATGTGAGCTGTCTTCCATGCATGACCTTACAATCCATTCGCTCTTAAGAGTTCTGTATGATGGCGATCATCTCAAGTATACTACACTTCTGAAGATTACACGATGCTTGTAGATCTACGTTGTCCAATCGTTTCCCATTATCAAGGAAGCTGACATGTAATAACGAGTTTTATCCAGTTGACTGCTCAAAAATGACCCATAGTATCACTATTTGTTCGGTACATAATCGATTCTAATGAAAGTCAGCTTATCAATCTCGTGGTTAGATATGTACTGATTTCTTCTTTGGGTCCAAGTACACTATGTTGGAAGTTTTACCTAATGCTGACGATAGCTTGATTTCCGTACTTCTCAAACTTCTAAAGATTTTCGTTCAACAGTTTTTCGAAGAGATCTTCCTTCAAGTCAGTGATTTCATGATTTTTACAGTTCACAACTTGAAGTGTGTTATTGATTCTCTATGTCACAGATATTAGACTTTTCTCAAATCTTCACTCTATAGTAGAACTTGACATACTTTCACCCTTGCATAAATGTGCTTTTGCTTAATTATCAAAGGTCAATAAAGTGTGATTCGGAGCCAGCTATTTTTAAAGATCCAAATACTAACGGAAACAGCTGTTTGCCTGGTGACCGTGTTCTTGCCACATCTGCTCAACGGTATCATTTCAGCCATCAGAAACAACAGATGCTAGGTGAACATAAGTAAGTTGCAGTGATTATAAAAGTTTCTGCTCAAATTTATAAAAACAGATTTCGGCTGTTGATGTGTTATAAATATTTTATATATAGTGCCTTTATAATATTCTAAGACATTTTATGGACAAAACGAGAGGGTGACTCCACTAAAAACTTATTTAATCTCTATGACTAAATAATTATTTTATGCTTTCATAAATGTTCAAGTGTTTCCAATAACCTGTTGAAACTTAATCAATAATCACTCGTAGGAAAATATCCGGACTAAAGGTTATAAGGTTGAAAGGAGTGTCCAACAAAAGGAAAGAGTAGTTATGAGGTAACTAGTAAAAGATTTATCGAAAAAAGTTAAGTGGAAAGCAAGAGGGTGAATGACAGTGTGAATTTTTAAAACTAAGAATTTCAGCTTGAAATAGCTAATTATTCAGCTCTGGCATTTTTTAAATCCTACCTAATCATAGATTTGAACATGAAATTGGGGACCTATCACAATGCTGTTGGAAGAAAACATTGGATTTTATTGAAATAGCCACCAACAATTGGTAGAACCCAGTTGATGTGTTCTAAAAGTTACTGTTATCAGTAATCCGTTCCTTTCATGATCAGTAGAAGTATAATATATTGACGACTTTGAGTGGCCTGTCAGCCAATCAAGAAACACTGCCTAGTTCTAAAACAATTGACTGCTAAAAGCAATAAAATACCAATGGAATAATGTCTTTGTTTTGATAACCAACTCTTGCATGTCCAATTATTCCTTGTAGAAAGGAAAAAAAGTTTAGTCAACATATTAATAGTTAGACTGGTATTATAAATTATGGTTATCACTTCATTGGATTTCTGTCACCAGCGGACACCAGCTCTAGTGCTAAAGGTTCGAATGAAGTAATAAGAGTTAAGCAGGAGTTGCAACTTGAGTTTACAAATTAGGGTTTGGGTTTCCATCACTGATTGACATCGGCAGTGATTCATTGCTTCGTCAACGTTCTCTTTACAAGCTTTAGAAAATTAGGACTGAGAGGAAATATTATCTAGCTTCACTAACTACTTTTGACTAGGTGCTGAATCACATCATACACTTTAGCACGATCTGCAATTGCATTTTGTCATTTAGCCGAAACAGCATTTAAAATTCACTTTTGGTATTACAACATAATTTTAAGGACAGTGTATTGCCGATTTTACTTCATTAATCATAAGATACAAGTTATCTTTCACTGTACTTTGAATTAGTTATAAAATATGTGGTGTTAGCTTAATCATGACTGGTCAACTCAAGGTCATCAGCATATACTTTTACTAAATTTTGTTTGATTTTACTGTTAACCGACTTTTTGTAGACTCAGTTCAGTAGTATGTAACGCCAATCCTTATCTCTAGACCCTTCTCAGCTTTCCGAATAAAAGCATTCATCTAACTTTCAATTACCCTTCTTACCACTGTTAGTTTCATTATTTGTTTAATTCTGTGAATACTTTTGATTCGTACTTGAAATTCTCCAATAGCAGTTCAAAATGTTTCTAATTCTTCTTTAATATACATTTACTCAAGTGGCCATTCTTCAACTCGTGCACCCAGCTACCATCAGTAAACTCCCCTATTTTAATCTGCATGATAATAGATTTGAAGCTATTATGCTTTTATGCTTAATAGCTAGAACATTCTTCGTTCCGTGTTATTCTATAATCTCAAATTACGGAAAACGTTATCTTTCCGTTTGTATAAAATCATTAATATAATATAGAGATGTCACTTTTTTATTATGAACTAGAGTACAACTCTTATCAACAATGTCATCTGATATTTCCTTTCGCTTATCACTACTGTAATTCAAAGAAACACCTCTAACAGTATTTACCTAATTATTTTCACTGCATAAAAATTTTTCATATTATTTCAACATACTAGAAAGTGCTATTTGTAAATTAGAATGGAAGCAAGAATTTTGTATGAGGTCACTTATTATCATTACCACTGTAACACGGACACATCATGATTTTTAAAGTACTTTACATGTATCTAATTAAGTGTAATCACGATTTGTGGTTCCTGATGCTTTGATGAATAGTAATTTCTGTTGTAATGTACTGATGCAAAATTTCCTCAAATTCATTACCAACCAAACTTACTAGTGGCGGTAGCTAATGATGATGTTGTTGGAATACTAACTATCTAAATGATACTAAAGAGTGGCAATAGTCAGCAAACACTGTATTACATTATTCATCTGAAAATAAGGAAAATAACTGTTTCGTAACATACCCACGTAAAATGATCATGACTTGTTTTAATGCTGAAACACTAAAATTTTAACTTTGAAGAAACGAGGAAATATTATCTAGAATACTGGTGAAAAAAAGAGAATAAATAAGTGACAGGCTGTAAAACTTTATTACTAACTTTTCAGGTTGAACGTAGATATTCATAAAACAGTTGGTAAAAAAATGGTTATCTGATGGATGTCATGTATTTTTGACTGCATTATTTAAGAAATGATATCATCCCTTAATAATATTTCAGAATTATTTATTTAATTACAGGGGTTCGTACCTTCTTTTCAATATTTTCCCTTATAATATTCACTTTTCAACCTCATTATCAGCCTACATAGTTCTTTTCCTTTTTAACAAGATAAATATTGGTAAAGTTCACTAGTGGTTTGCAGGTGCCCGTAGCTATAATATCTTCGATATAAAAAGGTTAATTTATCCAGTCGTATTTAGTAAAAAAATGGTCCCGCTTGAAAACTACTATCTCACTGACTTCAATCTGTGTGCTTTTATGATTCTTTAGATTTGATCACTCTCTCGGTCAATGAACAAATTTTGATTTCGTAAAAGAATTCTTTGTTATCATTTTTAATTTCATCTAGACATTAGTGAATGACTGAATTTACAAACGAGCTGTTCTCCTACTTGATAAATGTCGTGCGAATGCAGTCATTAACAGTAAAGTCTAACAAAAGATAAAAGATTACTGCATAAAATTGTGCATAAAAATAATTTGAGTGTACATTTACATAATTCTTTTGTAGATTTTCCGTTGTACCTGAAAGAGGCGATAGCCCACCCAAAGTGCTCTATTCCAATTTAAAACCTGTAAGTTAACACAAGTCGTTTCAATAATGTAACCAAGCTTGTTTGCCTTTCAGCATTATACTCTTTGTAGTAATGACTTAACAAAACTAATGTCTTAACTATTACTTTATTAGAGAGTAGTAATAAATGAATTCCTTGTAATCTATTCCATCTAATCTGACAAATTAATATGCTTTCACCTTAAAATCATGAATAAATTAATGCTAGAAACGTGTAAGCGCTGGATGGTCGTTTCGTCCTAATGGGGGACTCATCAGAAGTGCCCATCCACGACTCCGCAGGATTTAAAGCCAGGACCTTGAGTCTTGTGCGCGGACACTTGACGAGGACGAAACGGCCGTCCAGTGCTTCCAGGTTTCTAATGGTGATCTAACGATGATTCATTCATGCTTTCAGGGTAAAAGGATGGTCCCCATTATACTCCAATGAACTTTCCTTGTTGTCAGTTAACAACCAGAGGACAGACCCAGATTTCATACTTTTCATTAAAGCTGGTGTTCAAAAAACATTTTTCTTTCAAGTTTAAATCTACGGACTGAATGAGTCATTAGATTGACATTATAAATGGTATGATTTTGAGCATGCTATCTATATTTGTGGCTCTATGTTTACTGTCTCTAGACAAAAAACATTTAACAACCACTTAGTTTTTTTTAATCTTTAATATCCAATTAAAACGCTTTTGGCAGATGATTGGACGTCATTATTTACATAAAGAGAAAATGTTTATGCCATACGAGTGTACACTTCATCGGAGTATAATAACATATTTCAAATAATCTTTAAATTCATTATGTTATTAAATTAAAATGTCAATAACACTGAAGTGAGTGCAAATAGGCTTCAACAAAATTTGTGTTAAGTCTCCAACGCCTCTCGATCGAACCATTAACTACAGAAAATACATAAGGAACTAAACCGTCTATTTTCCGACCATGATACTAGTAAAAATGTGTGTGTATCAATAGACTTTCCGAGTCGTTAAGAGTCAGGCATTCAGGCGTTTAGTTTTCAAGGCCTGATTTAATTGTACGTGTGTAGATTAACAATCTCAAATGACGATCATAAAATATCAATTTTTTGCTTAGTCCTCGTCGAGTTTTCAAGAAATAACTAGATTCCAAACACATTAGTTTTATGCAGTGATGGACGATAAAATTGCCAGTAATGTATGAAAAGAACCCAAAAAGCACTAGCTCCCAGTCAATAGAGAATATTGTAATCGAACCTAAAATTTTATTCTTGACAACACTACTTCTGTTCATAATTTGATAAATGGTTGAGAATTTACAAAAATTAATTTTAATGAAGGGTTATTTTCAAAGATCTTTGAAAGACACTACATTTCCTATATTCATACACTTGGTGTATTATGTTAATATGATTCAAAAAAAAGTGAGGAAATATAGAGCTCAGAAGAGTGTACTTTCTTATTCAACATAAACTTTATAATACGTTAGATTTTTGTGAGTTGATTGGTAAAATTTCAGTTTCGATGATTTGGAGATGATCTTTTAAATTTTGAACGAATGTTCAAAATTTATCTAAAAATCAGTCATCCTACTCATATAGCTATGGAATCATTTATAGGCTAAGAAGTATAACAAAAACATATTTCAACAGAACTGTTAATATATATACATATATATTCTATGATAAATACTAATTATATTACTGTTTTGGATACAGGCTGAGAAATTAGAAATTGAGAATCCAGGTTTCACAGGACCTGCAGAAAATAATAGTGATAACTCAACAACAATAAACCAATCTACAACACAATAACGCTTTATTCAAATATACTCAACTGCGAGTTTAGAAACCTAATTTTTTGTTTTCTGGCCACTTTTACTACATTTAAACACACTTATCCCGGTTTATGCAATGACGATTTCATCTTTTATCCTGTACTTATTGTTGGGTAGATTCTGGGACAAGTAAAAAAAAAGATATTTGTATGAATACTTGTTGTCCCCCTTTACTTTTACTGTCTCATTAATTGATTTATTTGTTTAACTTTATATTCTGATAACATGCGTAGCTATAATATAAGATCATTTAGTTTATTCCTGGATAGGTGATTGCTGAGACGTTTTATTACCGCAATTATGTGGTAAAAAGCATATTAAAATATAATTTATTTTTTTTGGAACTTTTAACTCTAAGGAAAAGTGCTTTTCCATTTGTGTGTTAGGCTCAACAAAAATTGATATTAAACCCAAATGAAGCTTTTTAGTACCTTTATGGATAAATTTTGATAGTATGATCATAAATAATAATGAGATAGTGACAGGCTTAAATGTTTACAAAATATGTGCTCAGTTTATTGATGGTAGAGTTCTCGTCAATTAAAATTATTATTTAATTAGTTGTAAATCATTTCTTTGCAAGATTTGATTAATTAAACTCTTTGATTTTTTGGAAATCCCTTCTCTGGTGTCGAATAATTTATTTTTTTCTGAGCTGCTTCATAGTATTATTATATAGCCAGCCACATTATTGGCGTAATATCTCTATATTGACCAAGTACTTTAGCTATGCGATATAATATTATAAAAAAGCGTAATAGAACGTTGGATATCTATCGATGTATTATTTAGGTAGAGGCAGAAGCTTCTGCTGACGAAATAACCTCCTTGGCTGGTATACTCATCTCTCAAATTAGCATCTGAAATGCTGCAGAAGTCATTTGGTCTTGAAGATAACGAGACAGTGAATGAAGCTCGAAACTGTATTTGTTCCTGCTGTTCTGCATATATATATATGCAGCGGTACTTGAATCCAGTATCCGGAACGATGTAACAACCTGAATATAAACTCAAGGACTGAAGTTCGTCTACTTAGTTTATGCAGGTTCGAAATCCTGTGCGCTGGCTCCACAAAACTGGCAATACTCTGTCACAACAGTTTTGCAGCAGACAAAAATACACTGAGCCATTTGTGGCTTTTCTGACCATAGATAGATCTATGAAGGAATAGATCCGTGGTTTCTATCTTGTTGATGTAGATTAGGAAACTAAAATACAATTAAGCTTCAATAAATACTGTTTACCTGTCGACATCCTTGGGTTAAATTAGGCAGAAAAAATTTCTATAAAATTTCCAATCGCAGCCTCTATAATATCATTAATAGTGAAATATAAGACATCGTGTAGCATAGTAAATGATATGAATCCGGAGATATTACCATGATTGTAGCGGCGATGGCCAGGGAATCGTCCCACACAGTTGGATTTATAAATGCTGGACAACTTCATTTCAGTGAAGTCCTACTTACTTAATTAAGTAATTATTTAAATGCGCCTGTTACCACCAATAGAGCATAAGCAACCGACCAGCATTCTCCAACCAACTCTGTCCTAGACCTTCGTTTTCACTTCTACGAAATTGCTGTTCATTCTTTTCATATCTGTCTCCGATTCTCAGCGCAAAGTATTCTTTAGTCCTACTCTTTTAATTTGATCTTAACGATGCCAAGTGAGGACTTGTTTTGTACTGCATTTGGGTGATTTACGCAATGTGTTACCTATCCACCTTCAGCTCTTCCTCCTGATTTCTTTGTCTTCTGGGATATGGTTTGTTCTCTCACACAATAGGTTGCTGCTGATGATGTCTGGCCGATGGATCCTCAGCATCTTGCGTAGACAACTGTTAGTAAACACTTATATCTTTTGGATAATGGCTTTTGTGGAGCTGTCTTAACACTTGTATTAAAACTCGTGACTTTGATAATGGTTGACGAATTTTTGAGTTCCAGATGTTCTTCAATTGTATAAATACTGACGTTGCTTTGCCAATTCGTGCCTTCATATCTGCATCAGATCCACCTTGTTTATCGATGCTGCTGCTCAGGTATGTCAAGGTTTCCACATCTCTGAGAGCTAGACCATCTGCGAAGTCCAGCTCGTCCAGATGCATCCAAGCTGCTCACTGTATCCCGCGCTTCCCTCCAGATGTTGACATCTTCATAATCCAGTCGATCACCAAGAGAAAGAGAAAGGGTGAGAGAAAGCAACCTTGCCTGACACTGGTATTCACTTTAGATGAACCTGTGAGCTGCCCTTCGTGCACAATTTCGCAGTTTAATCCATTTTAATAATTCCTTATGATGTTGACTATCTTCCCATGAACACTATGGTGTCAAAGAAGCCTTCGTAGTGTCATGCTGTCCACGCTGTTGGGTGCTTTCTCGTAGTCAATGAAGTTGATGTATAGTGGTGAGTTCCATCAAATTGGCTGTTCCACATGGTATCACTTGAGTTGGACTGTAAATCTTTAACTTTTATCAGTTAGTGATTAAATGAAGCTTTCGATCACCTTAAATTCTCCATATGTATGACTCGAATAGCATTGAGAAATACGTGATTTGAGGTTACTTAACTGGATATTATGTTACAGAACAGATTCAAGTGCACAAGTTACTGAAAACAGTCCATAGATGGAATATATTTTCATGAATTAAATATTTCATTTATAAACAAAATATCTAACTGATGTAGTGCAATCTATCGAATAATAGATTATGAATTTAAGATTGTTACGAAAAAGACAGTGAAACCAGTGAATGTTTGCCTCTATTATACTATCCATGTTCTAATGGAACCAATCGAGTTGAAAGTGAAACACTAGCTAATAGATGACGCCAAATGGCCATTACACTTATTTGCTGATTGACTGTGGTTAAAAATGTGGATTCCGACTTAATGACTTAATGGTATCTCAAGTTTTTGTATTCAATCTCGTGTTAGTTACGGTAGTCGTGTAGTTCTGGGAAACTCCAAATTAAGGTGAGATGCTTAACTTATGTCTGCAAAGGTTCCCGTAATCATGCCGGTGTTCGTGATGAAAACTACCCTCAATACATACAAACTCTCTACAACCACTCAAATTAATATAATGATTTTATATTTTCTATCAAAAACTTCCGTCGATGCTTAAGATTATAGATTAAGGGAAAGTAAAACTGGACTGAATATTAGGCGAAATTTTCATTTGTATCGATATGCAAGGCAATAAAATTAGTGAAATTTAAGAAGTGAAAATTTAAATGGAAGAGGATGTGTATACTGACATTTTGACGTAGCTTTGGAATACAGATGGTTACTTTTGAACTCATTCTATAGACATCTCAGGTACTAAAGAACGTTTAGGATGTATTATTTTAAAAGTAAAAAATTGACTGTCGAAGTTTCATGGCTATCGTTTTTGTTGATTTGATGGCTTGGTTAGAAAAATATTGATGTAGACATAACTCACTAATGGCTTCATAAAGACCTCATCCAATTGTTCTTAGAGTTTACTGTCAAGCATGAAATCCACATTTATGAAGCTCATCAGTAGTAATTTTTCAAGATAACTACTGGAATTGCAGTGAAAACATTCATTTCCTCAATTTAACCAGATATTAGCTTGACTTTCAGCTGGAGTGGAACATTTGTGCATAATGAGGTTTTATCCGAGAACAACACAGAATTTTTTCTATGCTCCTATATATTACACAAAATGTCAGTCAGCAAGTTACAACGAAGAACATCGTACGTACGTACATCAATTCAAATTGCCATACAACATAATCACAGAGACGCAATCGCCATTCCAAACCCCGTAGAAGTGGGGGTAGTAGGAGTATTAGCAGTAGTATTCGGATATATCAATCCAGATGTATACACCAGAGTAATCATTTGAAAAAAAGTGAAACCGTCATGAGGAATTCAGAAGACTAAAATTCGAGAGAACACAAAGAATCTATGCACTTGCGCCATTGCAAGCGACTTTGAATCATGTCCTTCAAGGTCTCTAACCATCGATTTCTATCGTCTCAAGGACCCCAAACAGGTAGTCCACACCTACTAACATGGCTCAGTCCACTTGTAAGTGACTTCATTGATTTCTGCCATGCTTTGTTCTGGCCGCCTCTATATTTATTGTAACCTATTCCTACACTTCAAAACATCGTTAGCCGAATCAGTTTCACTACTTCATCTGTTGATCTTCCATCCTTACCTAGCACCCGTTTCCCAACAACTGCAATGGTTACTCGATAGTCCCAAGATAAACGAGCAATGCTTCGGAAACACTCATGATCGAAAACCAGTAACCTACGAATATCTTGTACTCTAACTGACCATGTCTCGCATCCATAAAGTAGAACGGAGCGGACTCCTGCATGGTACACTCGTCTTTTGGTCAGCAGACGGACATATCGCTTACGTCATAGGTGACGCAAGTTGGTAAAAGCCAATCGAGACTTCTATATCCGTGCCGAGGTTTCGTCAGTCACCAGGCCATCAGCACTGATGAAACTGACGAGGTATGTCAAGCGGTCAACAAGCTCAACTACTTCACTCTCTATCACTAGTTCAGGTGCCAACGCAAGCCAATCGTCGAGCAACATTTTGCATTTATAGGGCAAGAACCTCATCCCGAACATGCTTGCATTTTGGTCACGGTAGTCAGAAGACTCTGCATTTTGCCACGGTCCTCACCGAATAGAACTAGTAGAAGGTCTACCCCTGAAAAGTCAGACGAAGATAACGCTATCTCTAAAACAAGGTCTACGAAAAAGTTGGACAAGAATGGAGAAAGTGGACAGACAATGTAATTCTTTGGTACACCTTTCAATGACAGACACTGCCACAGAACCTCACGATCAACAGAGTCGAATGCCGCCTTATGGTCGAGGAAGACAACTATTGTCGGACGCCTAAATGTGTGTCTATGTTCCAGTACCTGATGCAGTGTGACTATGTCGTCCATACAGCCACGTCCAGGTTTGAAACCAGCCT